TACGGGATGAGCTAGGTACACTTACAGGACCCCAAGGAGGACACCCAGAAGAGAATCTGGAAAAGAAAGAACAAACACCTTTATCCTACCTGTTTTGCCAATAGCTGCGCATTTAGTTTTGGTATCGACATCAATGTTGCCATAGAAACCTAAACATATCAAAGAAAAAATGTTACGCAATCTATGATAAGTTGCCAGCCTTGCATAACAAGTTATTATTAGATGACCAACTGGCACCAATTTTACCCAACCCTCCTCAGCTTTGAGACCACTGATTTAAGTCGAGAAACGTCTAGCAGCAGCACACTGATTGAATCGGAATTTAGTGTGTTCGGCTTTGAGCAGTGTAGAAAACAGGAGGCCCGGGGGAAACCTCGAATCCAGAAATATACATTACCGACCACATATTCAAATTTGATGTCTAGACAGGGAATGAAATCCGAACTCCAGAAGTGAGGCAAATTTACTACGTCCTTTTGGCATAAACCTTGTAATGGTCTATCACGAATTCGGCGCTATGATTGGCTCTATTAGTGAAAACGCTGGATTTGAAAACCAAACTACAACGCAAAAATAAATTTTAACCTAATTTCAACATCGCTTGTATCCATTTTTGGACCAATTAGAAACAATTAGTCCTCTCGACCTTGTGGTCTACAAGTCAGTAGCCAATTCGGCCTTCGACCTCATGGGCTATTGACTCGTAGACCTTTTGGTCTGCGGTTCTAATTGTTAATTAGAAATTACAGGATGAAACGAAGGATGAAAGCGAAGTTTACCTAATCTTTCCTTATAGTGCTTGTATGTTGGTCCATGTGTGGGAGATGACCTTGGAGTAGCTTGTATCCTATCATTCACTTCCATAGCGTAATTCATGGCGGACGAAATCGTTGGCATTACGACCCATACATTTTCTCTCGTCTTTCCAGTAAGACTCACTATTTTCTGTTCAATTCCTTCGTCTGTGTCTTCTAGAAGTTTCTGTAGAGAAGCTGCGGAAAAGTACGAGTCGCCATTTTTTTTGCTTTGTGGGTTATCAAACGATGATTGCAGGGCATTCAACGCTTTGAAATGATCTTTTGGTTCTTCCTTTAAGAACCTCTCAATATTACTCGAAGACTTCGTAGCCCCTAAACCATGTGCCTTAGTTTTCACATTTTCCATTTTGTGCAGATTTGGAATAACTTTCAACAATGAACTCCATTTTCCATTGTTGTAATTATTCTTGATTTCTTCCTGTTCCTTTGAAAAGATTGTTTCATCCGGATAAGTCCTGTCTTCACTCTGGGCGCCATTTCCATTCAAAGAAGCCACTTTCCCAGTTTTATCTTCATCGGTACCTGAATACTCAGTCCCGTAAGGATTCTTCAGCTCTATCGGCTCCAAGTCTTTATATCTGTCACTAGACTTTGTGTTTTGTGGAGCAAGGAAAAAATTCTGCTTGGCATGTAGTTTAGATTTAAAAGGTGACTGAGGTTTTGGCGCGGTGTTTTTGCTCACGAAACCGGAGCCCGATTTGAGACTTGTTTCCTTGCTCGGGTTGTCACTTCCGTCCGTGTTGTCACTCAAAACTCCGCTTGGAAACCACTTTAAGTTTGCCTGTGGTGGATTGTTATCCCCAAAGCTTAAAAAGTTGCTGGGATTCTGATAACTTATCTTATTTCCTGGCAACTGTTTTGATTTCATGGGATCCATAAAAAATATGTGGTCATCGCTATTTTCAGCCAAGTCTGCCTCTTGCAAATCCCCTTCGATATTTTGAATATTATGAGGTACTCGAGCAGTTGGTTGAGATTTGAGATATTTCGAGAATAAGCCTTGAACATTGTAATCCTTCAGCTTTTGATCTTGGTTTGAAACCAAATAGTTCCGGTAATCTTGAGGCAGATTATAAGTGTCACCATTTGGATAAAAAAGATCGTCCTCCAAATTTGGGTCCTTTCTTGCGTAATAGTTTTCAGTAGATTTGTATGGAGACTGTCTTTCTACCATTTGTAACTGGTCAGCGGGTACACTACCTTGGTCATGCACACTTTTAGGACTATTTATATAACTTGCAAGTGCACTAGGGACTATTTTGGTGTCGTGTAGAAGAGACGACTCATCGGCATCGTCAGGAGTCAATGGTGTTAATTTAAGGCCCTTTCGTATCGCCATTTGGTCCAGAGCTTTGAGAACATCTTCGATGTTTTCTTCACTGAGCTGCATCAGGCTTCTAATGTCGAAAGGGTTTTGACGAGAAAAACGAGCATCAACCTTGCTTTGGTTGTCTTGGATGGTAGCTGCGCTGGGAGCATTCGTTCCTTTTCCATTGTCTTCAATTTGAGTGGCAGTTTCTGTCGCTTTATTTGATGGCTGCTCAGGTCTTTCCATATCTTCGTTACTTGATTGTGGCCTGACAGATTCTGTAAGAGCACTCGTTCCTTTTCCATGGTCTTCATTCTGAGAACCAGTTTCAGGAGCTTTACTTGATGGTTGCTGAGTTCCTCCTTGGTTCTTGTTTCGTACCATATTTTCGTAATCAGATCCCAGCCCGTCAGATTTGGCATCCTCAGTTTCCACTTTATGAGAGGGAGTAGAAGCTTGAGGCTCTGAATTCTCATATCCTGATTGATTTGTATTTGACGCCTCAACTATGGATCCTGACTGCGGAGAAATGTTTCCAGTGTCATCATTATCCATTGTCATAGGATCATCTTCCATATTTGACATTGAAGATGCATCATTGTTACTAGAGGATGGTACAATTTCGTAAGTGTTGTAAATGTACATTGTGTGAGCAGGATCCGAGGACTCAAAGCTTATGCCGGGACTGGATGGACTTGAATCTTGATAGCTATACCCGGCAGGCTGGCTATACCCGGTATTTGCTTGGCTATTCCCAGTATACCCGGTATTTGCTTGGTCATACCCGGTACTTGCTTGGCTATACCCAGTATACCCGATATTTGCTTGGTTATACCCGGTACTTGCTTGGCTATACCTGGTAGACCCATGGCTATTCCCTGTACTTGCTTGGATATACCCGGTAGACCCTTGGGTATACCCAGGAGTATAACTGGTATATGCTGGCTGATATCCGGTTGAAGCTTGACTATACCCGGTAGATGCTGGTTGATATCCCGTAGAACCCTGGTTATACCCAGTAGTGCCGGCTGTACCCGAGAAAATATTTGTCGGAGCGCTACCGTATCCAGATTGTGGATTGCTAGATATTTTGAGAGGAGATCCCATCGATGTTGAAGCCGACCCCATTGGTAGATTTTGGTAACTATATGAAGTTGACATTGGCTGCTGCATCTGATTGGTCTGCGCCTTATTAGGAGTTGAGGCTGACGTAGAAGATGACATCAGCTGAGAAGGATTTGCATTACTTTGCATCTTATTAGGAAGAGCAGTTTGAGTAGCTGGTGGAGCAGGTGACTTATTCCCTTGTGGGGTAGGTTTAGGATTCTTTTGTCCTGCAGAGGGAGATTGACTCTGACCACTTTTCTGAGGATTGGAAGGCTTTGATTCTTGATGTTTTGCCCCTCCGCTTCCCTTTGCGGAAGCAGACTCTTTAAAATTTTCTTTTGCATTTAATTCCTGTTTCTTTTCTCCAGAAAATTTCTTTATCCTCGGTTCCTTTTCGTTTAATTGGGGTTTCTTCCCGCTACCAATTTTTGCATTTTCAGTTAGTTTGAGCGCTTTATCATTGTCATCTCTACTGTTACCTTCCAAAAGATTCTTTAAACGAGTAGTATTCTTTAGTTGCCTCTGTTGCTTCGAAGTTTTCATGTTATCTTTAGGCATTTTAATACTCGTTAATTGAATCTGTGTACCTGAAGACGCACTCTTGTCGTCTGCGTTGCCATTCTTTGTACTTATTAGTTTGTCCATCACCTGGTTTGTTTTTTCCTTTTCTTCTCCAAGCGCTTTTACTCGAGCAAGCACTTTTAGCGCCTTTAAAAAATCGAATATTCTTTTTTTTATATCAAGGCGTGAATACCTGAACGTGGGCTTCTTTTGCTGTTCTCTTCCTGTGGTTTTCGATGGTGAAACTTCTTTCCTCAACTTTAATCCAAAGGAACTCGCTTTCTGTTGCACTGTTTTGAATTTTTGTGATTTATGACTATTCGATTCCAAAGGCTCTTTACGGGGATGAAATTTCGCCTTTGCTTGTCTGCTATGGTGTCCTTTAGCGAGACCAAGTAAATGTGAGTTTGAACCCTGTTTTGGCAACTTATTTGAACTTGGAAATTGTATTTTATCAGGTAGTGGATGTCGCCTGTGTAGTGGAGAGCCTTTGATTTTAGTGGATGATTGCAAAGTCCGATTCCTCTCCTTTAGACGATCACGATTCGACTTAATTTTCCTACCTAAGAAAGAAATTCCAACTTTTAAGTTCGATGTTGCATTTTCGTTTGTTATCTTTAATTTCTCGGATGTGTTTTTTAGGGGCATCGTTTTATTCGCAGCTTGGAATTCATTTCCCAATTGAGATTCGTTTCTTAAAGGTTTTCTGTTCTCGCGGTTTTTATCTTCGTTGATTTTTTCCTTTGTGTCATTTATCTCCTTTGGCAAAGATGTTACTTGATTGACAAGCTTTTTTAGTTTGTCTGTCCTAAATCTAGTTTGTGTTGCTATCTTCATAACCTTATTGCTCTCATCCTGCGTGCTGTGTTTCATTTCCTTTTTCCGTGGCACTTTCCTTGCCTCATGGACCTTAGTTTTCATGTGGTCATTTCTGAAAATATCCTCTTCAATTTGTCCTAGTTCTGATGCGTCGAAAGGCTTAAGCTCACCAGGTGGAGAAGTTTCTGCAAGCTTTTCCTGACTTGAGATATTTTGATGAGAAGACACATTTGGACTCGTTCTGTTGTTTAACAAAATTTTAGGGTTCGAATAAGATTCGTTCTGGGCCTTGCCTTCCGATGGTTCTGATTCATTTTGCTTTCTTCTAACAGCCCAAAACTCATAGACTGATTTAGCTTTGTCATCCTTTTTATGTTTCCATTTGTTGTCTTTCAGACTTTCGTTATTCTTGTGCGTTCCATTTGACCTTTGTTTATTACGCTGTAAAAAACCATAGGAATTTTGAAACTTCGCAAGACTTTGCGATTTCCATTCGGTTTTAGAAGTATCGGTGACACTCATTATACTCTCATTTGTCTTTGTTGTAATATTGATTCCTGCTGTGTTGTTTTTAAAACTGGAAAAGCTTCCATTACCTAACCCTTCACGAGACAAAGAAACGTTATTTGAACCTTTGGAATTTTTCGTCTCCTTTTTATAACTGACCACAATATCTGTGGCGTTTTTGGATAATTCATAGAGTGTACTTGCTGAAATGTTTGTATTGCTATCAATGCCACTGCCGTTAAACACTTTGTTATATTCTAATTCGTTTTCACTCTTTGCACCTAGAATTTTTGAACCATTCTCGTCCGCCCTACCACTTGAAAAATGTCCTTTACCAAAGTCAGTTTTGTGACCGCTGCCCAGCTCCTGGACTGGTTCCATTTCTACTTCTTTATTTCCGTTAGTTTTGCTGATATCTTGACCATTATGAGGATAATTTACCGAAGCAGGTATATCTTCAGGTGTTCCTTCGCCAACAGTTTTTTCTTTCTCTATGTCCTTTACCTCAATTCCTCCACTTTCTTCGCCTTCATTATCCTCCTCCTCATCATTATCCTTAATTTTATAGATAACTGCATTCGCACCACTATCAGGCAATTTACGGTTAGTTGCTACAAATTTTGTGTTGTTGGAACTCCACTGGTCTGTAAAGTTATTGGTGTTGCTAATATTAGTATTTCCCTTAGACTCTTCGCTTGCTTTTTTGTCACCACGATTGTTGATGTCAAAAACCAAGTTATCACCACTTGCCTCCTCTGTCAGGCCACTTCCTTCTTCGTAACCATGGTTACTGACGTCACTGACCTGGTGACTACCACTTGCTTCTTCTGTCAGGCCACTTCCTTCATCGTAACCATGGTTACTGACGTCACTGACCTGGTCACTACCACTTGCCCCCTCTGTCAGGCCACTTCCTTCGTAACCATGGTTACTGACGTCACTGACCTGGTCACTACCACTTGCTTCCTCTGTCAGGCCACTTGTTTCTTCGTAACCATGGTTACTGACGTCACTGACCTGGTCACCACCACTTGCCTCATCTGTCAGACCACTTGTTTGTTCGTTACTATGGTTATTGACGTCACTGACCTGGTCACTACCACTTGCTTCCTCTGTCAGGCCACTTCCTTCTTCGTGACCATGGTTACTAACGTCATTGACCTGGTCACTACCACTTGCCTCATCTATAATGGCACTTGTTTCTTCAGTACCATGGTTACCGGTGTCGCTGACGTTCTCACCACCACGTACTTCATCTGTCATGTCTCTATCTTCGTTACCAATGTTACTTATGGCAATGACTTGGTCGCCACCGCTTGCTTCGATTATTAGCTTACTTGCTTCTTGTTTACGATGGTTTATGCTGTCAATAACCTGGTTATCAGCACTACTTTCATCTGTCAGGCCACTTGCTTCTTCGTTACCATTGTTATCGATGTCACTGACCTGGTCACCACTTATTGCTTCATCTGTCAGGCCACTTGTTTCCTCGTTACCATCGTTACTAATGTCACTGTTCTGGTCCTCATCATCACTTGCTTTATCTGTCAGGCCATTTGGTTCTTCGCTGCCATTGTTATCGGTGTCACTCTCTTGGTCACCAATAACTGCCTCCTCTATGAGGCCACTTGCTTCTTCGTTGATATTATTTTCGTTGTTACTGCTTGGGCTACCACTAATTACTTGCTCTGTGAGGCCACTTGCTTCTTCGTTGCCATGGTTATCTATGTCATTGGCCTGGTCACCACTAATTGCCTCCTCTGTCAGGGCACTTGTTTCTTCGTTACCATGGTTATCTATGTCACTGGCCTGGTCACCACTAATTGCCTCCTCTGTCAGGCCACTTGTTTCTTCGTTACTATGGTTATCTATGTTACTGGCCTGTTCACTTCCACTTGTCTCCTCTGTCATACCACTTGCTTCTTCGTTACCATTGTTATCGATGTCACTGACCTGGTCACCACTTATTGCTTCATATGTCATACCACTTGCTTCTTTGTTGCCATTGTTATCGATGTCACTGACCTGGTCACCACTTATTGCTTCAT